TATCACAAGTAAATCATTATGATAGACAAGGAGTCTTTCGTATCACAAGTAAATCATTATGATAGACAAGGAGTCTTTCATACCACAAGTAAATCATTACGATAGACAAGGAGTCTTTCATTCCACAAGTAAATCTTTATGATAGAAAAGGAGTCTTTCATACCACAAGTAAATCATTACGATAGACAAGCAGTCTTTCATACCACAAGTAAATCATTACGATAGATAAGGAGTCTTTCATACCACAAGTAAATCTTTATGATAGAAAAGGAGTCTTTCATACCACAAGTAAATCTTTATGATAGAAAAGAAGTCTTTCATACCACAAGTAAATCCTTACGATAGACAAGGAGTCTTTCATTCCACAAGTAAATCATTACGATAGACAAGGAGTCTTTCATACCACAAGTAAATCCTTACGATAGACAAGGAGTCTTTCATTCCACAAGTAAATCATTACGATAGACAAGGAGTCTTTCATACCACAAGTAAAACTTTATGATAGAAAAGGAGTCTTTCATACCACAAGTAAATCATTATGATAGACAAGGAGTCTTTCGCATCACAAGTAAATCATTATGATAGACAAGGAGTCTTTCGTATCACAAGTAAATCATTATGATGGACAAGGAGATGTTAAGAAACTGGTTCCAAATCTTTTAATTCGTCTTATCTCAGATTGTGTTAAACCAAATCATTTCAGAGTGGTGTCAAACCAGTTAATCCAACTTACTTCGGACTGGTGTTAAACCTGTTTAATCTAACTTGTTTCAGACTGGTGTCAAACCTGTTAATTCATCTTAATTCAGACTGAAGTCAAATATGTTAATCGACTTTTCTTTAAACAATCGCAAAAATCGATATTAAAATTTACTTTCAATTTGGTTATCTGTGCTTTAATTATAATACACACACACACACACACACACACACATATATATGTTTATTTATTTATAAAGTATAAAGCACTGCAGTATTAAAGATGATCTCTTATAAAGATAACATGATGTTACGACAGCGGAATTCACGTGACGCTGGTAACACGTAATGAGTATCAAGAACGTTCGTGAAGGCTCGAGTGTTTACTAGACGCCCTCTATTTCGTATATATAAGACCGGCGAGAAGTGACGGCATATAGATGGATAGATAATTGCAGAAAGACAGAGACGGACAATTGAGTCAAGCGTGGTAGTAAAGTGCGTGAATCGTTGTGAATTATAGCGTGTGTTTAAGTTAAAGTGACTGTGGAAATTAAGTGTATTTCAAAGTTGTATTGAGAGGGAATAAACTAGTTTTATTTAAGAAAGGACTTGTGTCGCTGAAGTTTCATCGAAAATAAGTTATACGGAAAATTAACAAACGAACAGAGATGTTTTCATTCAAGGCTAATTTTAAAATAGTGGTTATAAAAAAATCGTATGACCTCAGTTCGATTTTACGCCGTTGTGACTGAATTTCCACTGATATATGCAGAGTTTGCTCTAGAAAATTATGTTGTTGGTATCAGATAGTTACCAATACAAAGAGTTTAAAATATAATACTTGAACGATAGTTTGACGCTGCTTGTTTAACAGACCCTGAGGAAGCACAACATAATCATCAGATGTTGTCATAGTAACAAGACAAGATACTAAGTAAAATATTCACTTCTGTTTGTCGAATCTCCTAATGCGGCATTTACTTTTGGAAGTTGATTCGATTATCTATTTATAGCTCGTTTCTCATGGAAAAACAACTTTAACAAGTAGTGTTTAACGAAGTACACATTTTCCTTGTTTGTTAAAGACTCCTCTAAAATTCACAAATAATTTAGATAAAAACAAACAAGTTAAAATAATAATACATTTCGGATATTACTGACGTGTTGTAAAAAAAGAACTGGTATACTTGTAAATGACGAAACTTTTGGCGTACACGCGCGGTGATATATCGATAAATCCGGTCAGAACCGGTTTAAACAAAAATCCCGGTCGCTGATAGAGGTATAACATCGTTCAAAGAAACTCATTTTATTGACGAAACAAACATATTAACTCAGAAAATTCTAGAATTTTAATATTTTTAAGTCAAAAACTACTTGATGAGATAAAACAAACAGAAATATACTAAGAATATGGAATTATACCAATACTGATTCGACATCAAATAAAAAATAACAATATTTCATTCACATTCTTAACAGTTTAATACTTTAACTGATTTTAAACGTTAAAGGGAATAAATAATAAAAATGAATTCGCAGTCTGTCAAGATTATTCCTGCTTTTAACTTTTAAAAAGCTGGCATAATATTAAAAAATTGAGCAGAATGGTTATCTTTAAATGATAACGTTATATTTGTGGTATTCGTGTACATTGATATCCACCAGGTAGTCAAAAGTTTCCTAAAGCACACAGACTCAGGACATACTGTAGACAATAATTTTAAACTCGAACACCAAAAACAATATAATTAGATTCTGGTGAATAGATACAAGCTATATGTTGTGTGTAAGTTTTACTTTCTGGTCGACTCCTCTGTTTTGTATCATGACTATTCTGACTAAAAAGGAGAAGAGATTTTTCCTGCACTTTTGTATCATGACTATTCTGACTACAAATGATAAGTGATTTTTCCTGCACTTTTGTATCATGACTATTCTGACTACAAATGAGAAGAGATTTTC